GGTTTTGTCAGTTGAAGAATCGGACTCTGACTCATCCGATGAAGGTGATTCTACGGTGGTACACGCACCTTCAAAAATGGACGGTTCCTCAAAAAGAAAATGCCCCTCCCCGAAAGTGCGCCGTAAGAAAACTAAAGTCACCTCCAGACGATTGCCAAATTCCCAGGGTAATGGGGATGAAAAAACAAAACCGAAGGCTCCTGTTGATCCAATCCCTGGATGCAGCAAGAATTTTCCGCCATTGCCCAACAAAGATAAAAAAAATAAAAAAGCTGCTCCTCAAACTTCTCAAACGAAATCCAAGTCCGAACGAGGTTTGCTAGCTTTTTCGGACATTGTGGAATTCATATTAAACATGTTCAACATACAAGACCCTCTAAGAAGCTTAGTTTCTGCCTTGCTTCCAACATTAGAATCATATCTTAAGCAATTGACTGTTTCATGGCCCCTCCTTGCATCAATCATATCTTTCGATGGATAATTCGTCGAACGAGGTCGAAGATATGATCACTGTGCTACATTGGAACTGCCGTAGTCTAGTGCCTAAACTAGACTCGTTCAAATTTTTACTTCACAATTCTGACTGTGATATATTTGCTCTCTGTGAAACATGGCTTTCTTCCGATAAAGAACTCAACTTCCACGATTTTAACATTATACGCCTGGATAGAGACGATTCTTATGGAGGAGTACTTTTAGGGATCAAAAAGTGCTACCCTTTCTACAAAATTTCCCTTCCTGCTCTATCCGGCGTCGAAATCGTTGCTTGCCAAATAAATGTGAAGAACAAAGATCTTTGCATAGCTTCAGTATATGTTCCACCAAGAACCTCCATTAGCCGTAGTCAACTCTGGAATCTAGTTTCGATTCTTCCATCCCCAGTATTAATTCTGGGTGATATGAACTCCCATGGTACTGGGTGGGGCGATCTATATGACGACAATAGAGCGGCTATTTTTTACGATTTATGTGACGATTTCAATTTGACTATTTTGAACACTGGTGAAGCGACACGTATAGCAAAACCTCCGGCTCGAGAAAGCCGACTCGACCTATCTTTGTGTTCAAGATCGCTATCATTGGATTGTCAGTGGAAGGTTATCAATGATCCCCATGGTAGCGATCATTTGCCAATCATCATTTCAATAAAGTGTGGCCCTCACTCTGCAGAACCATCTCGGGTTCCATTTGATCTTACAAGGAACATCGACTGGCAGAAATATGCAACGGCGGTGACAATCGGTGTCGAATCAATAGATGCGCTTCCACCATTGGAAGAATATCGATTCCTAGCCGATTTGATTTACAAAAGCTCACTGGAAGCACAAAAAAGAAAAGTTCCAAGTGCACCCTTTAAGAGGAGACCAGCCACACCTGGTTGGGACGAAGAATGCACAAAATTGTATGTAGAAAAATCTGATGCTTTCAAAGCTTTTCGTAGACACAAAACCTCCACTTACTTCGAGGAATATTCAAAGCTTGAGACAAAGCTGAAACAATTAATCAAAGCAAAAAAACGCGGTTATTGGCGCAATTTCGTCGAGGGACTCTCACGAGAAACCTCAATGAACACCTTGTGGAGGGTGGCTCGCAACATGCGTAACCGCTCATCTTTCAATGAGAGTGAAGAATACTCCAACCGATGGATATTCGATTTCGCTAAAAAAGTCTGTCCGGACTCAGTTCCAGCACAAAATATTCTTCGAGAAGCGTCTCCTAGCGGCGGCTCTCTGGATAGACCATTCTCAATGCTGGATTTCTCTATGGCTCTTCTTTCATCGAACAACTCCTCACCGGGAAGCGATATGATTAAATTCAATCTTCTGAAAAATCTCCCAGATATCGCTAAAAGACGCTTGCTAGATTTATTCAATTCCTTGCTAGAAAACAACATTGTACCGCCTGAATGGAGACAGGTCAAAGTAATAGCCATTAAAAAACCTGGCAAATCAGCGTCTGACCATAATTCATACCGTCCGATTGCGATGCTTTCGTGCATTAGGAAATTGTTGGAGAAAATGATCCTTCGGAGACTCGATCAGTGGGTCGAAACAAATAACTTGCTATCAAATACACAGTTTGGGTTCCGCAAGAGCAAAGGAACAAACGATTGTCTAGCGCTGCTTTCCACAGATATTCAACTGGCCTTTGCACACAAGGAGCAATTGGCTTCAGTATTTTTGGACATTAAGGGGGCTTTTGATTCAGTTTCCATTGAAATTCTGTCAGACAATCTGCACAGATGTGGACTTTCTGGAATTTTAAATAATTTCTTGTACAATTTGTTGTCAGAAAAGCAAATGAACTTTTCTCTTGGAAAACTGACAACTTCCAGAATTAGTTACATGGGCCTGCCCCAAGGCTCATGTCTCAGCCCTCTTCTTTATAACTTTTATGTCAAAGATATCGACAACTGTTTGGCAGAACAATGCACGCTAAGACAACTTGCAGATGACGGTGTGGTTTCCGTAAGAGGTCCACATGCCGTGGACTTGCAAGGACCATTGCAAAGTTCCTTAGATAACTTGTCTTCTTGGGCTAGGAATCTAGGGATCGAATTCTCGCCGCAGAAAACTGAACTGGTAGTGTTTACTCGAAAGCGGTACCCAGCCCAAATGCAACTTAATCTTTTGGGCAGAAACATTACCCAATCATTGTCTTTCAAGTACCTTGGGGTCTGGTTTGATTCAAAGTGCACTTGGAATGCCCATATTACGTATTTGAAGCAAAAATGTCAGCAGAGGATCAACTTTCTCCGTTCAATTTGCGGCACATGGTGGGGTGCTCATCCGGGAGACCTCATAACGCTTTATAAAACAACTATTCTCTCTGTTCTAGAGTACGGCTCTTTCTGCTTTCTCTCGGCAAGAAAAAGTCACCTAATAAAATTGGAACGAATTCAATATCGTTGTCTGCGTATTGCTCTAGGCTGTATGCACTCAACGCATAACATGAGTCTCGAGGTTCTGGCAGGAGTAACACCCCTCCAGAACCGTTTCTGGGAGCTCTCTCTCAGAATACTAATCAAATGCGGAGTGACGAACACACGTATAATTGCTAATTTTGAAGAAATTCTTGGGCTGAACACACAATCTCGATTTATGAGAATCTACCACCACTACATATCATCAGATATGTGTCTTCCTTGTTATACTCCAGACCGTGTTCACTTCACCAATCGCAGTTCCTCAATTGAATATGATCTGACCATGAAACAAGCAACTCATGGGATTCCCGATCAACTTCGATCTATTATTATTCCGCGTATTTTTACTGAAAAGTACCAACAAGTCAATTGCATAAAAAGATATTTTACAGACGGGTCCCGTCTCAATGGATCCACTGGCTTCGGTGTCTTCAATGAAAACTCTAGCGCCTTCCGCAAACTTCAGGAACCTTGTTCCGTTTTTGTTGCTGAGCTGGCAGCAATCAACTTCGCATTGGGGATGATTTCCAACATGCCCGCAGACCATTACTTCATCTTCACGGATAGTCTCAGTTCGATTGAGGCTATTTGGTCGATGAAACAAGGTAGGCACTCATCTTATTTCCTTTCAAAGGTAAGGGAGCAGATGTGTGTGCTGGTCGAAAGATCATATATGATTACCTTTGTATGGGTCCCCTCACATTGCTCAATCCCAGGCAATGAGAAGGCGGACTCTCTCGCAAAGGTGGGCGCGCAGGAAGGCGAATTGTATGACAGGCAAATTTCACACGATGAATTTTACCATTTAGTGCGTCAGAGTACCTTTTCGAGTTGGCAAACCGATTGGGACACTGGAAATCTTGGACGGTGGTTACATTCAATTATTCCTAATGTTTCTTCGAGAGCGTGGTTTAAAGGCTTGGACTTAAGTCGTGACTTCATTCGCGTGATGAGTAGACTTATGTCCAACCACTACTCGCTAGATGCTCATCTCAATAGAATAAACCTCGTGGACAGCAACATCTGTCGGTGTGGAAACGGTTACGATGACATCGAACACGCAGTTTGGCAATGTACGGATAATGACGCCGCCAGAGAGCGACTTTTGAATACCCTCGAGGCCCAAGGAAGACAACCCTATGTTCCTATCAGAGACGTGTTGGCAACCCGTGATCTCTGCTATATGCAGTCCGTTTATGTTTTTCTTCAAATGTCTAGTATAAGAATTTAATTCCTTTTGTCTTTTGTCTCTCTTTATTAGTTTTTGTTTGTCTTGTCCCCCCGTCTCGATGAGTCTCATCGTCGCCCACTGGTCACCCACCATAGCCGGTCGAACTCCGGACGAAGCTAGAACAGCACTACCGTTCATACTGGCGACAACGCTCTGATGAGACAACGAAACCCTACCCCAAGCTCCTCCCCTGATCCTATCCTTCGAAAATGTACCCTTCTAACCTCGAGTAAGCCGCGAGTAATCGGCCCAACTCCTACTAGACATAGAATTAAGTGAATCTTGTTACACACAGTGAACAATGAATTATCGGCTCCGTAAAGCTAACGCGATTGAGCCTCCCAAATAAACGAACTAGATAAAAAAAAAAAAAAAGAAACGCACCTCTCGCTGAGTTGCAGTTTCATTATTTGAGCACTATTTTGCACCAGATTTGCAACTGCTCCACTATTCTGTTTAATTTCTGAGCGAGTTTGAAACACGAATGGAACTCTGTTTCAAATTTCTTTGGATGTATTCAAAGATGTTTCGAAGAGCTTTACAAAAAAAACGGAGAATAGTAAAGTTTATGGAACATGATGATTACAAACATCTTTTAGAAGTGTGCGTTGCGCTGATCGTGTTGCAGTTTTATTTTTGACCGTTTCAAATTATAGAATTGTCGAGTAGTTTAAAACAATTTTGAAACTCAACTCAGCATTGCGAACGGCCTAAGCGTGAACGTCATTATTAACTGCTCGAATGATGATCCATGTTGCGTAATATTTTAACAAGCCCCAAGCAAGCGCCAAAAACACCGAAACTGACAGTTTCAAACAAAACAATCCTGTTCGTTCAGGAAAACCCCGCAAGCGGAACTGAAAACAGAGAAAACATTTTTTTTGTTCTTGTGCGGTTTGCTAATTTGTTTCAATCATTATTTTGTTCTAATAATCCGCGGTCAATAGTTATTTCCGTGCCGCTTACTTTAGTGAATAGTGAAGATGATGTTCTTTGTCTAAAATACTGTTTCTGTACAAACGAATTGATACGGTATACAGCCAGGTGGGAATACAAGTTATATTTAGCGGGGATGATAAACATTGTTCACAAACCGTTTTTGTTTTGTTTCGGAGAGATGTTGAATTCTTTCTTTTTTTGCTTTAATAGATGTTTCTCATTGCCGGAGATGACCGACACTTGCTCCGGGAGGGCATCACGCTGATCGGTTCCGTCGAAAACGACCGTTACTGCTCCATTCGACTGCAAGACGAGGTAAGTGTGATGATGGTGTTTATGTTGCTTTTTTATTTATTTATGCCGTGTATTTCGCGGCGGTTCTAATATGAAATTATTTGTCGCTTAAACTCTAAATCAAGGTTCATTGCTAACTGGTCGGTCAACCACGGGCATTCCGTCGTTAAAATCTATTTGATTCCAAAACTCTTCATCACTAAGCTGACGGGAAAGTTTGACCTCACTTGTCGGGTAATTTATTTCCAAAAAATGCACCATATCCTTCCTATTCATTCGAGGTATCTCATGGTCACCAAACTTGGCCACACTTTCCCGAGAGAATTGCTCGTACATGTCAACGAACCTACCGGCCATCAGTGTTTCCTCTTCTGTATATGGAATTGCCTCCCGACGGCTGGTCGTATAGATCAGGAAGATGTCTTCTCCGTGGGCAACGCCATAGTTCTTCGTGGATTTGGATAATAGTTCGCCTACACCATACTTGGTCTTGTACATGTCATAGTAGATGTAGACCGGAATGTACGCCTGCATCAACTGAGCGGAACGTATCACGCCGGCAAAGTACAGACGGTTGGACATTATCTGCAAGGTTAGGAATTTACTGAATGTGGTAGATAACTGTCAGTTTCTGGAACTCACCATAATGAAGTCGCGAAAATTGTGTTCACAGAAAATCCCTTCTCCGAGGTAACGCTTTTTAATCATCTGACTTATCTGGTCCCGCCGAGCATCATCGTCCCCCATCGAAGTCCGATAATCTAGAATACTCGGTAGCAGCTGATTCCAGTTACTGTTGATTTCTTTCACATATTCTGGTTTGCTCATAAACTCTGCTCCCGAGTACAAACCCTCTGCTTCGGTCAGCGAAAGAATCAACGGTACCTTATAGAAATGTCCCCTTTCGATCAGCGTGTACGGATGGTCGGTCAAGAACGGTGTGGGATTATTTTTCGATTGCTTTTCGATTACAACTCCAAGCGGTGAAAATGGATTGTACAGGAAGTCAAAAAGTGGATCCACCGCCTTGACGATTTCCCGAGCCGGTTTTCGTTTCAAACAATCCAGAATTGCTTTGCTGGATTCGATTGGGCAGCCTACAGCAACTGCAATCTTGTTGGCCTTTTCAGCGGAGTTTTCCACCAAGACCCATGGGTTCAAAGCTGACCCGCTGTGACCGATAGCGTTCTTAAACAACCCTCTGGACATGAGCGATAGGTAATGCAGTTGAACACTAGCCGACCCAGCCGAATATCCCGAAAGTGTGATACTATCGGGATGCCCGCCAAAGCCGGCAATGTTCAGTCGAACCCATTTCAGTGCCGTTACTTGATCTTTCAGACCGTAATTTCCCGGTATGACATCGTCCTCGGTGCTCAAAAATCCAAACGGTCCCACCCGGTAGTTGATAGTGACGGAAATTATCTGATTCTTCATCAGATGACGTTCCTGAAAGGCAATTCCCGAGCCAAACATGAACGCTCCACCGTGGATGTGGAAAATGGTCGGTAGCGGTTCCGAGTTGTCCAGTGAAGTGGTATACACATTCAGAAACAAGCAGTCTTCCTCGCCAATGGTCTTGTCATTGCCTTCCACGAAATGATTCCACTGAATGCAGAACGGTCCTGACGAGGTAGCATTCCTTGGTTCATGCCACTGTTCATCGTTCACCTCAGACGGAACCCACCGCAGCTCGCCCAAAGGAGCCCTCGCATACGGTATTCCTTCGAAGGCATAGTAATGGTCACGTTTCACTCCCCTCAGTGGGCCATTTTCCGTTTGAACTACTACAAACTCTTGATCCGCTACTACAACTGTCGCCGCTACGAATAGTGCGATAATTAAAACAGTGACAATGGGGATGGTTGGCATCTTTATTAAAATAATGATTTCGATTGGGTAGTTCGCCCAAGACTAAGCGTTCTGACTCGCCAAACTGGCTAATTTTAACCCGATTTATTCACCTCTGTTCAGTCTCCCCTCTTCTTACACATCCCCAAAATAGTGCGCATCCGGATTTCGGAGATTTTCAGCATAGATCAATTCATATGCAAACAGATTGTCGGTTCTTCGTGCGATTGCTCGACGCTTCTTAGGTTAGGCTCAGACATGGGTAAAAAAAAACTTCAGCTGATAGCGTGCGCTAAGCAGTCAAGGTGAACGATACGGGCCTATACGGGGCCTGCCAAAGATTAAATCTTTGTTTGTCTGTGGAAAGTACCATCATACACCGATAGCAGGAAAGTTGGTCACTTTTTAGTGACTTTGTCATTTTTTTTAAGCTGGTCACTAATAAAACATTATTTTTCAATGGAAGTTACTTAAGTCACTTCTTTCGTGAAAATGGTCACTAAAGTCACTTTTTTGACGAATGCAACATAAATGTGAGTGGTCCAATTAATGTTTGGTATTGCTTACATTTCGTAATGTCAGGATACGTTCAATCTATTTAACTATTCCCATGATTTTTTATTGTTTGAATTTAGGTTTTTGTTCAATGTTTGGATAAAGCGTCAGGGTGGCCACTCAATCGGGAAAACCATGAATTAATAAGGACTGAAAACCAGCCGGGAAAAAACAAGACTATCCGGTAAATTTGGTTGCAATCTCAAAATATATTGAAATTCCAATTTCTATTAACTACACATATGTAGTTCCAGTTCGCTCGAAGCTGTTGACAGAAGCAGTTGTGTGTTTTTTTTTTTGGGTGCGAGTCACGTGATAATCTGTTTTTTGTTTTTGTTTTCATTGTTGCGGTGCTTGCTTATTGTTTGAAGTTCGTTCGGTTTAGCTGTTACCCCATTGGAAGCAAACAACAAAGTAATGGAGATGTCGGAGGAAGTAAAACTGACGATCAGATTCAGCTTCCCAGATAGATCAATGAAAGACATTGCGAATTTTGTGAAATCGCGGGATGCGGATCCAATCAGATGATCGTTCCTACATAGGGTAGAGCGCTACTTCGTCGTAATCGCCCATTTCCGTTCTATCAATTAGAAAAGATCAATTATATCAATGAGTTCACCGTGCAGAAATCAATAATAGGTTTGTTCCGATGCGTTAGTTCATTAGCTACAACATAAATCCTTAGAGCGCATTGTATGAATATTTACGTTAATTGTTCTCAAAACAAAAGAAGCGCTCCTAGCGAATCCCCTTTTTCTACGTTTATCCGTAGGACGAAGAAAATCTAATGGCGTTTCAATGCATTAGGACGGAATTGAAACTCGTAGAACGGATTTAGAATCAAGAAGCAGTATTAGATTTTAAGCAATATCTCAACAATTTGTCACTCTTTATGAAATCCATATGAATAAATTTAGAAGTCATCTTTGACAGAAATATTCCAATTTTTTTGTTTAAACTCGTAAAAAAAGAGAGGTAAATCGCGGGTTGTGCTTAGTAGGACGGAAATTAGATCAAAAACCCTACACTCTAAAAAATCTTCACGTTCGATTTACGTGAAATATCACGTAACTGATCTGTATTTAGAAAATCTCAAATGTTACGTGACTTTAGTAACTTTGACCTGCATTGCACGTCATATCCACTAAAAATGTTTGTGAAATCGACCGCATATTCACGTAAACAGATTTAGTGTATTTGTGTTTGTGTGTTTGGGACTTCGATATTTCCGCAAAACGGTATTTACGTGATTACCAGGTACGCAAACAAAATCAATATGGCGTCACCGAGCGTGGTGGAAGAATACCTCAAAGATTCAAAATTTTCCAGCAGTTTGCTGCAAATATTGGACGGTAATTTGATTCTTTTGCATTAATTGATTTATGATTATAATGTCGCCTTTCTCTAGTTTTATAATTTCAGACGGTGGCATCAGCATTTTGACTCTGCAAACCTTGCTGCAAACAGTTGTTAAAATTTTGTCCGAAAAAAAAACTCATACACGTTTCTACCTCATAATAATCAATTAGTCAATAATTGACCACTTTGTCAAGCAGTTTTGGCGTGACTTTCTACCAGCGATTTCACAAAACTGGACCAACTAATTTTTCTTTTTTTATGAAACGCACAAATTTTGGCTACTTTTCTTGTGGTTCTAGAAGAAAAAATCTCAAAATAATGTTTCATTTCAAAGTACAAGTGGTAGTAAACGTCATTTTAACTGCTGAAATGAAGTGGTTAATTTACAATTTTATGAGTAAAAATAAGCGTTAATTTAACACGTGGATTTTATATCTGCCCGATAAAATTGCATAATATTGACTGCTTATATATACACGTTCCATTATTATCATTCAAAATTCACGTACAAATTACGTGAAAAGCATTTTAAACAAAACGGTATGTCACGTAAGAGTTACTAGTTGTCCAGTAGTTTTCACCCCGATTTCACGTAAGCAGTATGTGGAAATCAGGTCTTATTTACCTGACTAATCACATAGATAATCGAGACTGGATTTTGATCGGCTACGTGTAATTCCGGCAAAAGTTACGTGAAAAATAGGGTAGACGAAAACCACCTACGTTTTCACGTAAATCGGACGTGAAGATTTTTTAGAGTGTATGTTTGTCAAGTTCAAATAAGAGGAGTCGATGCTATATTGTTTGCCAAACAACCGTGAACCATTAATTTTCCATTATGCCGATGGGAAGTCAGTCGAGGTACGCATGTCGCCTGCCGGGTACGTGAGAGTTTACGACCTACCACCAAAAGTCCCGGATTGCGATCTAGCATTGGTGCTAGGGAAATACGGTGATGTAAAGCGTGTAGTACGGGAGAAATTTCCAGCTACCTTGGGCCTCGATATGTTTACAGGTGTGCGAGGTTTATGTTAGGAGATTCCTAACTCGCTGTATTTCCTTAATCGAAAGGGAAACATATCCGGAGTGATTGAAGATTTGGGCGTAATTGCTTTTGTAAACAAACGCTTCACTTGACGATTTCTCGCGAATAAAAGCTCAGCCTAGAAAATTGACAACACAAACAGGTAAAAGTATGATTCATCTAGCATGTGGTGTAATTTGATCCCGAGATTGAGCTTTTATTCGCGAGAAATCGGTGACTGACGTGTTTGTTTACAAAAGCAATTACGCCCAAATCTCGAAGTTCTCCGGATATTCTACCAAGGGAACAAAAATGTGTGTTTCCTTTGTAAGACGCAGGGACATCGGATGAATTCCTGCCCCAAGCGGAAGGATCGAAAGCAGCCAGTACAACAACGAACGGAAGAAGAAAACCAACAACGGAATGAAGAAGAGACCAGTACGTACGCTGGTGTAGTGACTGGAGATGCATCGCCACACGAGGAAGCAGTTGAGATCCTTGAAGAAGAGGTGGTAGTCACGAATGTGACGTCCCCGGACACCGAGAAGAACAATGGAGAGGAAGCAAGCGCTGGTGAGAAACAACAGCCGCCTGTTTTCAAGTACAAAAACGATGCGTATTACTACTACAAATTCGGGATAGTGCACTATACCGAGAAGGATCTGATAAAGGACTAAGAGGAGGCCAAGCGGCTGGCACTGCTGAAGGAAAAACAATTGGCAGAAGCAAGGGAGTTGAGAGGATGGATGAAAGCGGAAGCTAAATTCCAGTCGCCTCCAAGGAAGAGTAGGAAGAACTCAAACTATGTCCCTCTTAATCCGTGGAGTTCTTTTGGACATTTGAAAATCTCATGCAATCGAATCTATCTACATTTCAAGTTGAACATTGTATTAGGTCCTAAGTAACATTGACAGATTCTCTTCGTCGACTTTCTCTTAGTATCCCCACGGCAATATAAAGACAATCTCAGGTATTTTCAGCACACAGATCGATAAAAGAAACTTTTATCTAGCATCTAATACGACAAACACAACAAGAAACGTTTATGTGCTCAAGTTATTAACGAAAGAGAAAGTCGACGAAGAGAATCGATCAATGTTACTTAGGACCTAATGCAATGTTCAGCTTGCTTTAGTTTTGTTCATTTTACATGTCTAAATCTACTCGCATCGCACGCAAGAATGGGAAAAAGCCGAACGAGTGTAATTTCTTTTTTTTTTTTCTCTCGCAACTGGCTCAGGCATAGCCAAAGCCAAGTCTTGTGAATGTGTTGTCTTGTGTTGCCAAAAACATCGATTTTAACGGACGCGAAATTTACGCTCCTTTAGTGTTTTTAGGCTGTGAACCATTTGCCGAATTAAATTTAACTCGTGGTTAAAAGTGACATTTCGAAAGTTATTTTCTATGTTCGAAAATCAATCAAAAAATTCCACACGTTTGATCGAAATGTTTAAACACTTGATTTTTTAAAAGCACAATCACATTTACTTTAAGTGTATTTCTCCTTGGTACAATGTGTTATGCACGTTAATTTCTAGTGTTTCATACTTTGAAATGTTGAAAATCTTTCACTATCTATTCAAGTGTATTGCACATTGAATCACACTACTGTTCAAAACAAATGGATTGAAAGTGTTTTGCATTTCAATGCGATGTGAATTGCTTGCTCAAACATCGAAAACAAGAAATGTGACTTTATCCTATCAACCCGCCTCATATATGAGAACAACTGTGGCACAGTGAGATCTAACGAAGACTCCGGCAGCAGCACACCCCAACAGTCCATGATCGAATCCCAAATCAGACCCATTAAAAAGATATGTGAAAGCTCTGGCCTCTGGCAGTTTTGAATATAGATTTGTCGATTCATTTTTAGGATCGGCAAAGTAGAAGTCGATAAAGTAGAATATTGAACTATGATGTGCAAAGCTATTGATACCACCAAATGAGGCACATAGAATCCAAGTGTGTCACAATTCAAAGTGTTCAGGCATGATTCATAGCATAAGATTCATACATGAAATGGATGTGTTTCACAATAAGCGCAAAATTAAGTATGAGACACATGATGATGACGTGTAGAATTTTTTGAGTGAAG